TGTTTAAAATTCGAATACATAATGCATAAGTTAACTATACAAGCGACAGGCGCACAGCCGTAGCATTTGGCAATCATCAAAGTAGTTTAATTACTTACAGGAGGTATTGACGGCTGCCCGACCTAGCTCTGATGGAACTGTCTTTTGATTGGCTCTCAAAATGTTGTGTGTTCTCATATTAAACTGTCAAACACCAAGCGGTCACCGGTGACCGCAACCTATTGTTCTATAATTGTGTCTATAATGACGGTACTCGACGAGTTAATGATGTTTGTCAAGTTAAGTAGTATAATGTTTATATTGGACCAAACCTATGTCCATCGAAGCTTCGAAACACTGGAACAGTTCTTAACAATGGCTCTGTCTCTACATACGTCACTGCGATTCGGTTCAATATATTGTTAGATGCTGACCGGAGCCTCTACAGAGCTATTGTGCTTTGTACAGCTCCAACCTACAAACTCGTAGCATATATTGCAAATACGGAACGGGTGCCTCTTAACGTCTTGCGCCGACTTCGTCACTCGTCTTTATACGATTTCAATACCGGTCGAGGGTAAGTCAACGAGAAAGAGAATTAAAAATACCCTGGAGCCATATTAATTTACTTGGAAATAACAGAAACTGGGATAAAATCAATACGTACGCTTTGAGCTTTATCATGAGTCTCATTTTGTATTACTTACAAAGTAGCTGATGTGGAAATAAGTGTCGTAATGTTTAATGGCGGCTTACCTACCGTTGATTACAAGATAACAAGTTTTAATTGTGTAATAATATTATTTCAGCGAGTAAACGATTATGTTCATTTCATTTCATTGATGAGTGAGTAATAAATAATGTTACTGCTACTAGCCGTGTTATATGGGCCCATTAAGATACATGATCAATTAGCCAGGTAACATTGGCTTTGATTATATTTTATAATCAAAGTATAATGTAGATACTTACCATTCGTGAATATTATTTGATAACATAGTTTCTGTAATTTTTGTTCAAAATAATTCTATTTTTACCAATACCCTCACGTCAGATGACGCCTTTTTTTTCCGCTTCATCCACATTCATCAATCTCTTTATGCATTCTCGTCGATTGAGTGTGCTTTTAATTTTAGCCTATCACATTTAGGTGTAGTGTTTCATTATTCTGGTTTTCAAAATTAGATATCTTAATTTAGACTCATCAGGAATGTTTACCTTCAATATTTGCTGCTGAAATCAATTGAGTTCGCAATTAAGTGTCAACAGATATGATATGTCTGGCGAAGTACTAGTTAAGTTTGATAAGGGTTGAAATATGAATCACGAGTACAGGAGTACCTACTCACTGAATACTTAATATAGATTGAAATACATGTTAGGAGAGATTTACCTAATGTTAAACGTCATTTGGGTACATGTTTGCCCTGTCAATGCTCGTCCGTCCTTCGGGAAGATGGAGGTCACCGGACGACCCCTAGCTATCCAATGTTAATTTAGTTTTGCGACGCAGGTGAAATAATGACAAGTTTAATGATCGTATTTAATACACAACTCTATTGAAATTGATAATAAGCGATATCTACAAATAAGTAATTGATTCACCTAACGGAAAATCGGCATTTAAAATGCAAAATAAGTATATCCATAAAACATTCACAGAGCGAGCGTCCCGTTCATTTCGTTTTGTTTTCATTCGATGCCGAGAAACGGAGCGAGATTGGTTTTAAAAGTTCAAGCTTTCAGTAAACATTTTTACTAATCCTACTTCATTGCAATATACCTTTATTAGGATGTTCCTAATTGCAATGGAGTATTCAAACAAGAAACTGTACACAAACGTATCAGACATAGGTACATACCTCTATGTTTTACATTCCTAGGTTAGTTAATGAAAGCAAATACTAGGAATACGTTTGCCAACTTAACGTCGTTTGCTAACGGGTTATTCACAGAATGTTATTTATTTTGGGCAAAAAATGTAGACCAGCAGTTCTGTAAAAGACTCGCTTTAATATGCGCGCTTTGATAAGGTGCACCTTTATGCAGCTGCCAGTGTGCTAATAGAGTCGTCAGGGAGGGCGCCATTATGGAGTGCGGCTCCATTCAGTGGACCTCTCGATCTCCCCGCCTCATACCACCCAACCCTGAGCAATTGCAGGATGTTTAGAGGAATTAAAAATCCTTACTTTTACACTTCGAATCTCCCATGAAAGTTTTTGTTTGCTGAGCTATTATAAACCACAGTTTTTAATGAGTTGCCTGAATGTTTGGCAGTAGGATTGAATATTTTATGAAATACGTAAAAGTTTCTAATCAGTTCTTTTTTATTTCAAGGCCACTAAATTAGACTAAGACTTTACCATTAAATTACGTCAAGACAAGTGTTTACTACACATTTAGAGGTACATTTTAAAAATATCGAGAAACTAATTTTTCGTGTATTACCTATATCTACCTGATGAAGGTAAGCTTTGTACAAAGTAAACCTATATAACATAACTTTGCGCATCTTGACACAGATATTAATAATATTTATTATTTAGTCCACATATTATATGTATCGTTAGTGTGGAACTCAATAATATTGTTATGATCAGAAAGAAAGACGTTTCCGCTCAACGGAGCGTTAATTTATCTCACAGGAAGCGCTAGTGAGCCGCAACTGGCACCACTCGCACCGGTCTCTCGATAGAAGCGAGATATCACATTCACACACAACCAGATACAATGAATGCACATACACAAAAATACATTTATCTATTTTCTATTCGAATAGCCAACAAACTATTCAAAAGCTGCTATTTACTGCAGAATATATTGCATAGTTACTTTCTATGATGCATTTTCAAAAGTGTAGAATTTCTGTCGAAGATGAAGTACAAATTACGGATCGGATAACTGAGCTGGAGCTCGAATAGTTTCGTTATAAGACTTCCAACTTTAATATCGAAGTAGATGCGCTGTGTTGGGGATTTTTTAAATCGCAAATTGAATTTCTGCGCACCGCGTCGGACATCTAAATCGGGATTCCTATGTGAGCTATGAATGCAAGCTACCTACGAGTAGTTGGTATTTTGGTACTACATTTTACTTCTCGGATCAGGGACATAAGATATATAAAAAAAACAGTTTTTACAGGTACGTATTGAAAGTCGGGATATTTTACAGTACCTAAAAACTACACTCCTTTAATGTTTTTCGATTGTTCAAACTATTTAAAGATAAATAAGAATCTGGGAATGTACTTCTTTGATTACTGACACTAACAAAAATAAATGCTAATGTGATGTTAAATATAATAAATATTTTTAAATGTAACCTTCAAGATAAATACTTTTTTACTTCAAAGCTTAATTTCATTTTTAATGTGACTTTAAGTAGTGTTTATTCAAAGAATCGTTTAGTTGACCGTCGTATATTAATAGTTATACGAAATAAAGGCTCGTAATGGAATTTCGTTTGAGAAAATATAAGGAAAAGGACAGACTACTTTTATACCGAGAGCACACGTAGTTCCCGGGGGATAATATCTTATTCCGTGGACGTAGCTGCGAGTAAAAGAGAGTTTACAATAAAACCACAATATTTTCCCTTTTTACTTGTTCGCGATTGGTGTTTCATACAAGATTTTTTCCTATTCTTCTTATTTTTAGGGTTTTATTAGATCTTCAGAAGATAAAAATATTATTTTTATTGCGTAGGTATAGGTTTGGCTTACTTAAGTATAGGCCCTAAAACTGAAATAACTAAGTTTGGATAACAATGGTTGACCTACTTTTATTCGTACGAAAAGAAAGTAACGCAAGTATCTAACTATGCAATTTTTGTTTGCAGTCCCAGTTAGTTAAAAGCTAAAAAAGTTTAGATAGAAATATAAAGGAATTTCAGTTAGCTGGACAAATTAAATTTTATATTAGAGTAGCGAAGGACTACATAGAAAATTTTAATTAAGGCGAGGCGGTAATAAAATCAAAACAAAGTTTCCAGTATAACACGGATGGCGAGTTTTGTGACAATAAACACGAAAAAAATGTAATGTAGGTACCGTTGACGTGACTCGTGAGTTTATTATTTGTTAATTGTCTTTTCATTTACATAATTATTCTAATAATTCGGACTAAATAACGTTTTAGTTTAAAACAAATACGGTTGTAGGTTGTATACTTACCTACTTAGTAAACAATTAGGTGCATTGTTTCCGCTGAGAAATGGTCTAAAATGTTTTATTTTTATTGCTATTTATATTTTTTTATAGGCTAGCTAAAAATATTCAAAACAGAAGACTTATAATTCATTGAAGAGCTTTTATTTTTTATAAGGCGGAAAAAACAATCAACCGAAAATAATTCCTCTCAGAAATAATAATTAATAAGTTATATGGATTCTATCCACAAGTAAATAAGAGACGAAAGATTCAGCCCGAAAATGAATAGACCAATTCCCGGTTTTATTGACATTCCCAACTCAATAAAATATGGAACTTGTGTCTCAACTCAAATATTGGGTAGGCAATAACATAAAGATACATAACAAGTAAAAATATTGAGCTGAAAGGCTTTTAGTTCATTAGTTACCTCTCGAGTAGCGAAAATCTTTGGAATTGATATCAGAGGTAATTTAAAATCAATGTGTTCAGTATTGGAGAAAGATTTCTCATCTGCGCAGATAATAGGACGAAACTTGAGCCTCCGGTCGTTGGGCCAGGTAGATTAAAGGCACAATAGAAAATGGCTTCGCAGGAATACTATTAATCAATCCGTGCCTTATCGGTCACGATGGGTAACGCTTAATTACTGCCCGCGAGAGTGGTGAGAGGGGATTAAGAGTTAATATAAGGATAATGGGCGAGTAAACCCACCAATACTATTCAATTATGTCATACAAACTGTAAAATCAACACTCTGGTAAAATATGAGGAAAACACCCTTAGGAAAACTCATCATTAGTTAGTAGCTTCATAGTTTATGTAGGCTGACGACCTGGAAATATGATGTATGGTGATATAAAGTTCCACTCACCTTTTTCATGAAGGACATAACGTTTGTGGGCAACATGATGTCGGTTTTCCTTTTTACTTAGCACTTCACTTCACTCACATCATCACACTACACTGAACATCACAGTACGCTTCTTACTCAATCGGGGATCAGCACGCTGCCACCGAAACACGACATTTTCCAACTATCTCACCGCACGAGATGATTATACACACAACACTGGCTTCAGAGAACGTGTACCTGAAAAAAAAAAATATGTTAGATCAAAGTGAAAATAAATGCAGACACTTAAATGTTGAGTGGTACTGGGTATGGGTACTTATTGTTGTGGAGTTGGGTCTCGTTCGATAACGACCGCTCCGCCGGGGAAGCCGAGAGAGAATGAAGCTATACTCGCGGCCACACAGGCATTCAACAGGTTAGCACTTTGTTCGCGGGGTCTTATCGTCTTTCTTTTCAGATTGATGCTTAAGTACATAAGTACTTGTCTATATTAATACAATGCCAGACTCACAAATATAATAGACTAGGTATAAAATCGATTCGTCTGAGCTCTCGCTATTTATGGAACCTTTTAAAGTAAACAATATCTACATAAAGAAGTTACCCAAACACATTATGTCGGCAGCAGTAACCTAACCACCAACCACGTACCTAATTTCAATTTTAATTGGAATCGGTTTCACTTGACGTTTTCTCTATTTCTCAATTGTCAAATGAAACCGATTTCGTTTACTGATGGAATTACTCGTACAAGTACCTACCTGCGTCTACAGATTTCGAATACGAACTGAAATTACTTGTGGTACCTTAGTATCTTTCTACTGACACGTTTCAATTTGTTAGTGACTTACCTATCTGTCTAATCTGAAATGAAAATCAGTTTACTTCAGTGATTCACAATAAATCATTTTGATGAGATTTTGTTGCCATTATGATTGAAAACGCAACGTATTGTACCTAATTATTTTGAAATATATGACTACGATTTTATCTGAAGCGATATATTAATTAAAATTAAAAATTAAAAACTCAGTAATTGTATTAAGAGTTTTAATTTTATCTCAGTATCAAACTACTAACTAGTAACCTGAAGCCAAGGAAAATGAAAACAACAAATAATATTGTAAAGGTCACATTAAAACTAAAGATGGGCCTCTACGTCTAACATTTCTTAGCAAGGAACGGAAACTATAGAACTGTCATAAAGTAAACAGATATCGCCTTGTATCTTAGTAAAGTTTAGTTGTTTCAAAGTATCGGATTCAAAACTAACATTAACATGAACAACAAATAACTTGGAATAGGTTATTACGTATGAATAACAGCCAGTGTAACTTGGGACTAGGGGTTAGCTTAACGCTGGTAACAAATTGCACGCTTCTGTGAGTGCCTATCACCGGTAAAGTGTGTCACCCGAATCGAATCGACTTGCACGGTCGGAGGGAGAATGCTAGTTAAATCGATACTCGTTACTTTCTGTCCCCAGCAAGGTACACAACTCCGCAGTATCTCGTTTAGCTGTCTACTATCAAGATGAATGTAGGCAAACCAGAAGTGGTATTGCCAAAATAGTGATTTATTTAAAGATTTACAGGTCTGTTGGCCTAAACCGATCCTTATCTCCCGCATTCAAATGAGTCGTTCGGCTTTGTTGACAATTTATTTTCGCTGAGAAATAGGATACTATCTGGATGGAGTGGAGTTCCAAACTCGAGGTTTACCTACTATCTACTTTTGAACGAGAAAGGAAATAAATTATTCCATGATATTAAGAAAATAAAATTGTACAGGGATTTTTTCACTATAAATAAAAAGCCTCTTTACTAAGTAATTATAGTTGCCGTTAATATTGGCTTTCAGGTTGTAACGTAGAAATAAGCGCTACAGCAAAGCACATGATTCAGTCTCTTGTCTCCGGGTAAGGTACGTACTACAGACAGACACCTAGGTGTCTGTCTGTAGTGTACCTACAATTAATGAGTCACTGATTTTGTGTTCATAATTGAGGTAATGTTGGACCCCCTTTTATTAAACAAGCTTTAATGAGCATACCTAGGAGGTACATAATATTGGCGTCCAGTTAGACAATATTGATAAAGTTGTAAGAAAAGTTCCAATCAAATCCACTAAGTATCTTTCCATTTTACAAACAATACAAACTACTTAATTACCTTATCGGCAGCTGTGCTAAACTTTGGAAAGGAATAACGATCGTGAATAAAATTTTATATTGAATATTCACCTTAGACACTAGATAGCTGATTTTAACTTGTTTCAGCGAACAAAGCCGGTTGGAGGAAAATTACGTAAATATTTTGCTGGGACATTGAGTGCGATATTAAATCGCGCGGGTAAGTCGATTACAGGCGGCTATCTAGCTCGGCCCGCTGCGCCGGATTACCGTAGATAATTGGAGCCGGCTCAGTCAGAGCCGGCCGGAGAGACTTACTTTGTCTTTTATGTTACCTACCTACTTTGAACCAACTAATGGCTTTACTGCTTTACTACTGTTTAATAATGTACAACAATCGGTGAGAGCACTTCAAAAACGTCTTGTGACTTTGAGTCATTACGGATCTACCTTGAGTCCCCCTGTACCAGCCCAAAGTCAACTAAGTACTTTATCTAGTACATGTCTACTACGTACCTATATGCATTTAGGTACAACGGAATTAAGTGTGCCTTCTTTTAGAATTTAAAACTTAACTTTTTTAAAGAACCGTTGACCCCCTCCCCCTCTAGGATTTTCTCCTGTATCGTGGGTGCGTTTATAAACATACAACGAATCGAACCTACGGGAATCGAACGTGCGATACGTTGTGCGGCAGCCGGTTGCTCAGTCACCGCACCAACCATCCTGGCATTAGGTGGATACCGAAAATTGTAAATAACATAATAATTTATTATTATGCAGAAGGTGAGCCCGCGACTTCGTCCGCGTGGAATAGACTGATTCACAGCTCCAAATATTCGATGTGCATTTTTCACTTTTCTACGATTTTATTATAGATATGTATATTTGGACTTATATAATACTAATACTCCACATACCTAATTAGGCCGCTTACCATCACACAATTACCTACAACTATTTAGGTAGGTACCTACTTATGTACACACGGCCACATATCAATCTATATAAAACCAGTTTATCCTGGTATCGCGTCGCATCATCTTTCCGTACATTCAACGTTCAGTTTATACTGGTTATTTAAAGCTCGATGTGTAGCCGTGTGTACCTAAGATGATAGTTAGTGGGTAGATAGATATGTACTTATAAATTGACGCAATTAGATATTTTGTATGTGTAATAATTCCAAATATAGGTACCTAGATACTAAATAGCCATCTTTTTATTCTTTAACCTCATTTGACTAACAATTCCGATTTAGGTACTTTCATCAAAGGAACATGTGGGGGAAAATCATCCAATGACTTCACTCGCCCCGGGTGAGGTGAGACGCAGAGTATCAGATTCATACTGACTGACTAAAAACGACTTTCCTACTCCTTCACTTCGAGTCGGAACTCCGATAACCCCTTAAGTCTTCCGCGGCTCCGTAATGGATAAGAAGTCTAAGCGCCTTATTTTAAGTTAATGGCAATGACAACAAAACTTTATAGCAAAACTTCACACTCGAGACACTTAACAATATGTATAGGTAATAACTTTGCTATCCAGTTCCAACTAGGAGTAGTTATCTCATTAATCAACCTTTTTTATAAGTAGGTACCTACCTATATAGGCACTAGGTACTTAATAGGTCGGCGTTTGACCACTGACTCCCCTGTGGTAAGCAATAATGTGGCCGACGATGGAGCACCTGCACGTCTACCTATAAGCAACCTAGTCACTCGAGACGTGGAGACATAGGTTGGTACCCTTCTGGAAACACAGACTTTTGCAAGGAATTCTAGTCCAACTGTACCTAGTTGTCCTACTGCTGAACATGTATCTACATTCATGAAAAAACATATCCTTATCAGCTCGTTTACGTCCACTGCCGGGCATAGGTCTTTGTAATAGCACAGCACAGCACCGATCCAAATATTCAGGTTTTCGCATCTGATTACTGGCAACCACTGCGTTGTAGCCGTAACACACTGAAGGAGCCCCACGGTCCAGAACAAGAACATTGAGTTCTTTTTTTCAAAAATCATAATAGGTATTACATAACCTACCGACCTAAGTAACCTAATGTCGACGTATTTAGGTACTGATTTATTTAAAACTGATAAACCTTCTATGATTCTTTGTTCAACTCGGGAAACGAGCCTGAGACTCTTGTTCAGAAATCGCACTATCGCAGATACTCATGCTACCTCATGATATCGGGTCGTAAAAGTAATCCGCAACGCAGGTCTCCCCAATGCGGGTTGGATTGTAACCTAATGATGTTATCTTTCATGTTTGATGTCGTTTTTGGCCAAAGTAATAAGTCACAAAATGTACCTACGTCTCCCTGAATTCCAATCTAGATCTATATCTCTAAAAGCGGGAGTTATCGCTGGGCACAAATTTCTATATTTCTCAGATAAAATGTATTGATGTAGATGGTTAAAATTTAACTACTTTGAAAATGAAATTTATGGTAAAATTATGAATTTTTCAAATTCGTAATGACGGAAATATAATATTACCTACATCATTGCGGATAGGATAGGCAGGCATTCAATGTGACCACCATTTTTATCAGTTAAGTACCTATGTGTTATACGTATTATGACCCAGTAATAACAATAACTTGGACAACCGGAATCGAACCCAGAGTCTGGACCTCTCATAGGCTTTTTACTGACAGGGTATAAACTGTATGATTAAAGATGTACCATTTAGGATAATAACTAGTGAAGTGAAAAACACAAGTGTTGCGACATATTTTATTATAATTACCACTTTCATCAAACTTTTAAGGGATTGAAACAAACCATAAGAAAACTTATTATACATCTATTTGAGAATTAACTAGATTGATGGAACGCGCTGCATGTACCATTAACATTAAGATCATTTAATTACAAATAAAATTTAGTATACATTTCCAAATTTCCACCCATTGTGGATAAAGAAAACAATAAGTATATTAACATAGATATCACAATATAATAACTTAGTGCCTGAACTGAGACAAAACATTCTTAAACTAAAGTGAGCTCAAAATTTGGATGTTCATTACATAATATTCACATATTCCTTATAGAAAGGTTCATCTGGTACTCAGGTGTCATTTACAAGT